TGTTCATGTCAACCAATAAACCTTAACAAAAAGGAATCGAATATAAATTAGACTTTTATAACAAATATATTACTCGAACAGGTGCCGCTATTGAAAAAGTTAAATATGATCACGAATTTGTCGACTGGATTAAAATGAATCTCAGGTTAAGATTCCAAGCAACCAAGATATTATTAATATTTGTCGAGAATGTATGAAGAATTATGATGAACGAAATCAAAGTGATCTTGCCAAAGAATAGGAATCGAAATTTAGATCAATTTTTTAAAAACTAATTTTCATTGAAAATAATCAAATGAATAAAGGCTTCGTTTGAACGAAAATGGATCTTGCCATTGAAATTTGCACAATTTTTTAAAATCAAATTTTCATTGAAAATAATTAGAAATGAATAAAGGCTTCGTTTGAGCAAAAATGGATCTTGCCAAAGAATAGGAATTGAAAATTAATTCAATTTTTTAAAATCAAATTTTTTGTCTTCGACAAGAAATGAAAAATAATTAAAAATTAATAAAGGCTTCGTTTGAACGAAAATGGATCTTGCCAAAGAATAGATATTGAAATTTTGCACAATTTTTTAAAAACGATTCATTGAAAATAATTAGAAATACGGAAATGGATTTTGTCAAAGAATAGGAATTGAAATTTAATTCAATTTTTTAACCCAAATTTTTGTCTTCGACAAGAAATGAAAAATAATTAAAAATGAATAAAGGCTTCGTTGAACGAAAATGGATTATTAGTCATCTGATTTTATTAAATTACGTATCTGATATATCTGTTACTGAATCATTATTCTCGAAATCTATAACTTAACCGGATCGGCCGAAAATCATTCGGCAAATTTTAACAGGTGTCCCAGAAATTATGATAAAAGCTGTAACATGATCAGATGTAAAGATTCAGCGGATTGTGCTAAAAATAGTCGGATATCCACGGATTGAACACTAGTTTTTATCAAATGCTTTATTATTGTTACGAATAAGCAATCCCTTCATCACGTCTGCATCACAAACCCGGCACTAATTGCGTATGATCCAATAGATATCCGAAAAATACCCACTAGATTAAAATAGTCGGATATCCAACGATCATCCAACGGATTTGTTAACGGATTCAAACACAATACATTTCTTTACAGTATATATATCGTGTATAATATGCCCAAATTCACATTCAGGTTTCACGACTACATTGATTATCTATTGACTGATATTTTAATTACATCACTAGTCTAGTGATCATAGATTTAGAAGTGATCTTTCGTTAAAATCTAACAGTTATTCGTTCATATTTTGCGATCATTGATTATTACTTTGTCAGTTTAGAAAGAAAATATATACAGTAATATTAAATATCTACAAAATGTCTCACAAAGACTGATTAAGGCAAACAATTCGGAAGATTTGTGGAATTTAACCTTAATCCAAAACCCCAATTGTTTTAACAATTCGGAAGTTGGACCCTTATTTATAAGTTTGATACATAATAATTGGACCATGTATTCAAACCCTAAATCTATTAAAGTAATAGATATAGATGGAGGATTTAAATAAAGGTCAAATTTTTCAAATGATTTATAGTGACGCTGCACAACATGCTATCATTATATGTTTAGTTTAAGCTAGCTTATGCAATTACCAAAAATATACAACAATGGTGGTTATAAATGTATAAGCATTACTATGTGTATGTACGTGCTAGCATAACACCAATAAGAATTTGTTTACTTATCGGCATGTTTATATAGTCATTTAAATGAATGTAATTCGCCTACAAAGACTTTAGAAGTCATGTGACATGTAATTTCGTGCAATACCAGGAATGTAGTCATGAATGTATGGTTTTCTGCCATCTAGAATGGCGAGTTCATAAAATCTTGCATTTGATTGGGCGTTAAAAATCTAGGATTTCACATGTCAATGTGCTGTGCTGGTGTAACATTCGTGTATGAGCATACCGGATTTGGTATTCGTGTTACTCTAAGAACTAGTACGTAATCATGTAAACTATTCTTTATTGCAATCCTTCAATCTGTTAACTTCCATCAATTTGAAGAAATATAATCCAGTGATTGCTATGCATTTGGAAATGATTAACAAAATTATTTAATTCTCATCTTTGATGATCAGTGATATCATTTTATCAACCCAATAAAAAATCCTATAAAAAAATTAATAAAAATGCAAAGACTCAGTGAATAGGTACAGTATACAAATTTGCATCAATCATGGATATTTATTTTAAAATAGAGTTTTGACTATAATTTGTTATGGCAATTAAATTATAATCGCACTTACGCATATATAGCGACCCTCTCAAAAACGGTATGCATGGTGGACAGGTTTTATCAGGTTATCGGATTTGAAAGCTATTAGATTATATAACGGGAACGGACTTGTTAGATTAATTTTTTATCAGATTTGACAGGTTATTGGTTTTTATAGGATCGGTTTTGAGAGGATCGACTTTATCAGTTTTGACAGGTTATCGGATTTGAAAATATAATAAACTATTAGATTTATATAACGGGGCGAACTTGGTAGATTAATTTTTATTGGATTTGACAGGTTATCGATTTTTACAGGATCGGTCTTGAGAGGGTCGACTGTAGTTACATTTGCTTCTAGCTTTTAAATAATTTGATTGGAGTTTTTAAAGATATATGCTGCAATAGAATAGATCAAGAGAAAATCAATATTATCGACATGGGGGATCAAATCATACCGAATATAGAAGAAAGTACTACACGTGTTCTGTGAAGTATACAATACTGGGCAAAAATTGTTGAATAACGGTAATTTGGTTCAAACGGGCAAATTACGTATTCAACAATTTTTGCCCAGTATTGTATACATATGCGAAGTTCCTACATGAATTCAACACTATTAACCATAGCTGCCGCAACAAAATTGGACCGGCAGATTCTCGATTTTGATTGGCTAAGAGCAACGATCAAAAAAATTAGGACAGAATTACTCATAATTTTACTAATGAAATCATAGCCGCCATTAAGTTAAAATTGTTCCTGGGCCAATTTTACCATAACGCGGTTTATTTTTTAAGAATTTCTATTTTATAATGAAAAAATTAAAAGGTTAATTCAGGTCGAAATTAATAAACATATTTGTAAAGTGGGCCCAAAATTTTGATGATCTTCGGCCGTTAGCGTTAGCATCTTTGATAGATCATTTAAATCGGACTGTTTAGTACTTAATTTATACATAAATAATCGTTTGAAACACCCGGTATAAATATATTTTTTATTATGCAGTAATGGACTAGTCACACCGAAAACACGTGTTAAATATATTTTTTATTCATGCAGTGTAATGGACTTGTCACACCGAAAACACGGTATAAATATATTTTTTATTCATACAGTAAGGACTAGTCACACCGAAAACACGGTTTAAATATATTTTTTATTCAAGCAGTGTAATGAACTAGTCACACCGAAAACACGGTATAAATATATTTTTTATTCATGCAGTAATGGACTAGTCACACACGGTATAAATATTTTTTATTCGTGCAGTAATGGACTAGTCACACCGAAAACACGGTATAAATATATTTTTTATTCATGCTGTGCTTATTCCTTGGGTTAGTCGTGGAGGAAACACTGGTTATAAATATATAAATGTATTTTTTATTCATGCAATAATTATGCCCCGGGCATTCACTGCGAAAGCACTCAGTATTAATACATTTTTTATACATACAGTAATTATGCCCTGGGCTAGTCCGGCTGAAACGCCCGGTATAAATATGTTTTTTATTCATGCAATAATTATGCCCTGGATAGTCATGGCGAAAACACTCGGTATTAATATATTTTTTATTCATGTAGTAATTTTGCCCTGGGCTAGTTCAGCCGAAACACCCGGTATAAATATATTATCATTCATGCAGTACTTCTTACCCGAAAACATAGAGAGCATTGATTAAAAAACTCATTTATTGAACAATTTAATATAAATGAGTGTACCTTTAGAATCATTCTAAAAAAAACATGCAAACATTTTAGGAAAACGATTATACGTAAATGAGGACCAATAAATACAATAGTACTTAATCAGGGTACCGGTTTCGTTACAATGTCTCGTATTTCACATATTGAAGTTCCAAAAAAATAAAATGTGATAATTTTCTTTTTTGCAAGTTTTTTTCTTCTTCTTCTAAGAATCTTCGGTACTTCGTCCATAACTGTACAATTTTTCGATGGACTACATTGAAAAAGCAGTCAAAGGCAAACTCGTTTTTAATTATGATGATTTTTCGGAATTTGAAGAGATCAATAGTGATGGATTCAAAATAGTTAAATGTTGTTGGAATAATTTAAATGTCGTCCTTAAAAGTATAACAGAAAAAAATAGAAACTCCGAATTTATTCGAGAAGTATAAATAATTTTAATGAAAATACTCTATTAATTTGATTTTATAGCGATTATATTAATATAATTTTATTTATACAATATGCAAAGCTTGAAATATTAGAAAATATACAAAAGATTAAAACTCATCCTAATAACTATATTATTGACTTTTATGGCATAACTAAAGGTATGTAATAACAGTCGTAAATATTGCTTGAAAAGTACTAGATTAAATTTTCATGTTATAAACCATTTTATTATCGACAGTCGTCATGAGAATGGCTAAAAATTATCTTAAAAGCATTTTCTTGGGTTATTTTGGGGAATTATAGCACTTTTTATCAGCTTATGGTTGTTAATATACTATGACAATGCACTTTTCAGATAGTAACGGCTTTTTCATATACTGTCGTCCTCCTCTATAATCACGCAGTCCGTATCATGCAAATTGTATGATTATATAAAAGTTTTTACTATGATGTGCTTATAAAGAAGTATTTTTTATAAGTTTATTAGTAAAGTGTTGCAGGGCGTGATGTGATTATATAGGAGGTGACTATATAGGAGGAAGACAGTACAGTGATGCATCATTTTTTTATTCATAATTACGGCCCGATTGCCGATTATCGTTGCCAGTACTCGCATATGATTATAATTATATGATATTCAAAAGATATTTTTATATAGATCTATCCGGCTGTTATGGTTTGATCTTTGAATTTGCTGACAATGGAAATCTACGAGAATATTTAAAAATAAATTTCTCACGGCTCGAAATTCCTGATAAATTACGTTTCGCTCGGGAAATAACACTAGGACTTAAATTCTTACATAGTAATGATATTATTCATCGAGACCTTGTAAGTTAATATTAATTATTTAATGCACTTTTTACAGTATATTTATTTAAATAATTTATAAATACGTAAACGTTATAGCATACAAAAAATATTTTAGTTCATAAAGATCATATGAAGATTGCAGATTTTGGCCTTTCTACAACTTACGGTTCCGATTCAGTTTACCAAGCATGTGGAGTACCAGCGTTTATTGATCCTCAGTGTCTAAATGATCACTCATATAAACCTACGAAGAAATCTGATGTTTATAGTCTAGGTGTCATTTTCTGGGAGATTTCAAGTGAAAAACCGCCATTTGAAAAGATGTCAAATGATAATGATAAAGTAGGTTTAATACTTCAAATACTTCAAGGGAAAAGAGAAACTCCTATAGACTCTATGCCACCTAATTATATTGAGCTTTATAAACGTTGCTGGGATGAAAAGGATATTAATCGCCCCGAAACAAAAGAAGTTCTTGATGATTTGGATAAGATAATTTCTTCTAATATTGTTGACATATATGATAAATCACAAATTAATGATGTAAGTCTTCAGGAAACAAAAATAGTTTGCAATGAATTAGACAAGATTAATTCCGATATTGCTGGCTATTCCAATAATTCGGTATTGAATCATCCCGAAACAAAACAGTTCATGACTAATAATTTGACAATCGTGATAATTAACAATTAATAATGAAAATCGTCAGGAAATTCTGGCTATTCTAATAATTCACGAATTAACGATAAAATAAGAATGAAAAATTGACAAATAATTCTGATAGTCTTGATCAACAGTGAAACATTGAGATCTTTCGACATTAGTAAGTTGCATTAACTGTTGTTCGATATGTGAATGTGGATGGCAAAATTGAGTTTAGTTATTAAATAAATAGACATTAGATTAAATACCAATGTATATCTATAATAATTTAATACTGTACATAATTTAAGATAGTTTAATAATAAAAATTTCCAACGAAGCAATGGAGGAATGGGCTATAGCAGGCAAATTTCTCAATGGAGGGCGAAATTGCCAAACTTATATGAAATGGTATAATCTGCCGTATAAGCGAAGGATTTGATTGCCAAATGTTCGAAAGTTTGGTGTTTTGGAAGAAGAAAATATTTAAAGGTTACTGAAAAAATTGCAACAAAACTATTTTTGTAAAATGACGAAAAATGATAACTCCCCGAAAGGCAAAATTAATGAAACTCCTGCGAAAGACAAAACTCTTCAAATGAAAAAAACCTTGCCGAAATTCTCGCAAAGTAACAATCCTGACAAAACTTTTGGGAAAAACGAGCCTCAAGACAAATTCTTGGTTGAAGCAAAGAGGTACGAAGTTAAAGCCTTTCAAGCTTTACTCACTTGAATTTCAGGAATGTTCGTCTTCGATTCAACTGGTCAGATTTAGATTCAGTATCCAAAAATTTGTTCAATTATTGAAATACCGAAATCTTAATTTAAAATAAATCTATTGCTACCAAAAATAAGTTACCCAAGTACGGTGCCTAAACTCATTCACGATAATAAATGTCTACCATATGAAATAATTTTCACCTCTTTGAATAACATATTTTCTAAATAGATACTACACATTTTACATAAATTTCAAGAAAATATTAAATTATAAACCGTAACTAACAATTAGGGATGTTAAACAACTCGGTTTAGTCGGTTTTCAATTCGGTTAGAGTCAAGTCAACTCTAAGTCGACTTATCATATGATATTACCAAATCGGGAGCGACATGCATATTGATATCTACGTATCTATCTATCTTATATATAAAGTAGAGTAGGGTATTCTGGCGCACCTAAGCTGCGCTGCAAATTATAACTTTAAAAATTAACGTTTATTTCTAAAACTCTTAAATCAAACTAATTTAATACTTGGCAATCTCGCTACTGAAAAAAAAAGGGATTACTACTAAAAAAAATTGGTTATCATGATTATTTTGAAAGCGACTTATAACCGCAATTTTATTAGGTGGGGGATTGTGGCGCACTTACAAATGTTAGGATCTTTGTAATGCATAAGTTACATAGTTGATAATTTTTTTATTAAAAAATCAAGATGGAACCCGATATCAAAAAATTGCATAATCTATTATGCATTACTAATAGTAGCATTAATTTTTTTTTTTTTTTATGTAAACGTTCCTCTTTTCGTTGCTCTAACTCAACCCTTTTTTGTGCTTTTTTAGCTTCCTGATCAGCTTTTTTTTGGCTGCATCTTCCTTTTTTTCTTTGCACTTTCTGTCTTCTTTTTTGCTGACTCATTTGCTTCTTTTAATTGTTGTAGACTTTCTTCATTAGTGAGAAGTCAAGTGAATGGGAAGTTTTTTCTTTTTTTTGGCTGGACAGACTCTGATTTAACTTGTGCTGGAACTCTTGAAGTAGGATATTTAAGAGATAGTTTTAATGAGCAAGTATCAGGATTTTTAAACATCTCAAGTTCCTCTTGTGTTGATTGGTAAGTTTGTTTTATAGCAGTATTTTCTTTTTTTAAAGAATCAATTTCTGCTAAAAGTTCATTCACTCTAGTAATATTAACCCAAGCAGAATTATTCAGATAAAATGAATTATTCAAATTATTAAAATAATTATTTATTTGAATAGATGATGTAGTATTTGGTGAAGGTGGCTCTTGTTCAACTTTGTGTAGACGAATTGACTTGATCAACCTGTGTAGATAAAGATAAATTATCAATTTGTTCAGTTGATAGAGAAGAACCAAGACGATCTGGGCTTATAGCATTAGGGTTAAAAGGCCAAATTCCCGTTACTCTATAAGCATTGGTAATCGCTTTAGGAGTGTACGTTTTGATAAATACTGGCCTAAGCATTTTTGCAAATGTGTATTTAGTTACTACTTCACTAGTTTTACTATAAAGATTATCACAACCTTTATTGTATTTGGATTTAAGTTTAGCAAATGGAAGCTCAGATGGCTGGAGAACGTGAGTAGTGTGAGGTAGGAGTGCATATAGTAGAATTTTGTTTTAATAGCAAAAGTTAACACTTATATAATTAACATGACTTTTGTATCTATCTAGTATTAAAAGAACAGGTCAACTAGGTGGAATAAATTTAATAAAATGTTCGATAAATATTTGAAAAAGATTTTCACACATATATCCTGTGTTAGTAAATCCCATAACACTACCAACTAGAGCACTATATAACAAATATGGAATTGCATGAATATCTTTATAAATGAATAATAGAGGAACATAACCACCAGTAGCCGAAATTGTTGGAGCAACAGATATGTGTTCATAGAAATTGCCATGTGCTACTTTATAAACTTGACAAAAACCTTTGGCAGCAAAAACTTTTTAGTTACAACAAACCTGGTTTCATTTATATTCCAAATACAATCGGCGGTGAGTGAATTTTTTTGAATTATTTTTTGAAGTTTATCAAAGTGATTTTTTATAATAGTTGGATTTGCCTTTTGTGCGTGTGCCTCTGAGAGAGCCTAAAATACGCAAAAAGATAGATTAGAATACTCTTTCAAAAAGCAAGACCACCAGGCCTTGCTAGGTCCATCTTTAAAAGGATGATTTTGATTGTTACTATTTATAATACTCATCACACAATGATTTACTCCAGATCATATAAGTCCAAATCTGATTTTCTGCATGTTTTTACAATATCCAACTAATTGTTGTTCTTTATGCTCGCTCAAAACTGTTTGAGAGCTAGGGTGGTAAAGTAGACCATTATCAGTCACAGGATATGTCCCCGTCGATCAATTTTAATAATAGATTAATTTTAAAAATACTTCGAATAGTTAATAAGAAATGTCACTTTTACTTCTAATAAGCGTTAAAATTCACACTTTAATCTTTTATTTCATACCAAAAACATATAGATTTAATAACTAAATACTGGTGAAAATCAAGCCTGAAAATGATATTTTTTTACATGAAAGCCAAGATCTCTCTCCAACTATACTCATTTTCAAGTGATTTTGGGTTGTAAAAGCTCTTAAACGAAGCGTAACTCAAATTTTCTTATTAGTACAAATTCTTTTAACTTGAGACATTTAGGTGTTTACTTATAAGTATCCTCTTTTTATATATAAAATATTAATTTTTTTTATAGAATGCTAAAATATTATATAAAAAAATATCTAATTAACAGGAAATTTAGTCAATTTAGAGTTTAGCTATTAATCGAAATATAAATGAGATCAAGAATTATTAGAATTATGAGGAATTTGCTATATGATTCAGGTTATTATACTATATATAGAAAATTTTTATATAATATTATAGTATTTATTGTTGCTTCTTATGCCAATTATTTCTTCAATACATCTTAATTCTTTCAGCTGTTCAGTCTGGCAAGATAATTTGAAGTTCCCAGAAAACTTTTGTGATCATAGTTTCAGATAAATCTTCTTCATAATCAAGTAATTGAGCAAGTATAGCTTACTCTGCCTCTGAAGTGGTGCGATGTGTTTTTTTTTGGAGACTAG